AGCCGGCTGAGCACCGACACATCGCACGTCGAGTTGATCAGCTCTGCTGACATAGTGCGTCAAGCCGACCTTAACGAAGCCTTAAAACCGTGAGCCAAAACCACTCGCTTGTTATTGACCCTGCGAGGGACCATGCAGAAAGACCACGTTGTGAGTAACGCACCTGTAAGCATACACCACAACACAGGAAGCCTTCGGCCGGCGTGATAGTCGCACCACGATGTTTTCGGGCACGATTGCCCAAAGTGAATCACCACGACGATTGAAAAGGCTCTGTGTCCGACAACCTTCGTCTCCACGACGGGTGGTGGTACTGTATGGACTTAGCACGAACATCCCAAACCGTTCGAGGCAAGCACCCTCGGCCGACGAAGCCGTGCACAGCATAAAGATCCAAGAGCGCGCAGTAGTATCCGGGAATCAGAACTATGCAGGACTCAACTTCGAAATCCGGAGTGCATTGTTTGGATGATCTTCGGGTGGATGGCGGTGGTTCGGTTTCTTGATGAGAGCGTGATCGCAACGTTCGGTTCCACTTGGCACACCCCAAAGCTTACACCAAACAGCAGCAATATCAGTCCGAACACCTTGAAGCCTTTAATCATCTTTCATCCCTTAGAGCGATCCTGTCCTTGCAGTCGTTGCTCAGCCCGGGCACTCCCCGTGAATGATCGGACACTCCGCGGATGCCGGCGACAAAAAGCAGACCCCACCGGTGGCTCCGATTACTCATGGTTCTGTAGGTCACTATTGTAAAGCAGGGAATGCCAAAGATGCGCATCCGGTCCCTAAGCTCTGCGACTTCAACATCCTATCACGACAAGTCCCGCACTTACGTCGCTTCTGCCTGCCATCGTGGCAGCTGCCGCTTTATGCTACCTGCTCAAGGAGTCGCTACGAGACCGAACGAGTTCTTCCTCGAGGGCAGGGGGAGGGGGGACTGCTCCAGAGCCATGTCCCCAGTTTTTACACTGTTTCTGCTGCTCTGCCTCCGTCCATCCGGCTCTTGCATGCCTGCAGCTTGCGACGATGCTTCGCTTTTGCAATCTGAAGCAGCGAAGAGCGACTTGGTGCTGCTATTCGGCCAAGGGAGACATTCAAACTCCTATACAGTAGCAGTAGCAGTAGCAGTAAGAGTAGGAGTAGGAGTAGGAGTAGGAGTAGGAGTAGTAGTAGTAGTAGTAGTAGTAGTAGTAGTAGTAGTAGTAGTAGCAGTAGTAGCAGTGGCAGTGGCAGTAGCAGTAGCAGTAGCAGTAGCAGTAGCAGTAGGTAGCAGTAGCAGTAGTAGTAGTAGTAGTAGTAGTAGTAGTAGTAGTAGTAGTTGTTGTTGTAATTCTAGTTCTCGTTTTCAGTACTGGTACTAGTACTAGTAACACTAGTACTAGTACTAATACTAGTACCAGTACTGGTACCAGTACGACTAGGACCCTACTACTACTACTACTACTACTACTACTACTACTACTACTACTACTACTACTACTACTACTACTACCACCACTAGCAGTAGAAGTAGCAGTAGCAGCAGCAGCAGCAGTAGCAGTAGCAGTAGCAGTTCTTACGCTTTGTAACGTGTACGATAGCCTTTCGGGAGTCGTTAATTTTTTTTGGCTAGGCTATGCGTCTTCGAAAGCAGATATCCAAGAAACTCTGTCGTTCTGTTTTGCGTGCAGTCCAAGAGGAGCAGGGCACTTTGGACGAGATTGGTTCTTCTGTTCTGTGTCGGCATTGGGAGTGTCGCTATCTGCTGTTTCTGTTCCATGTACTGTGAGCATCGAAGCAAACCCCAAACCTTGTGATCTACTTAGACACAGCCTGAATGTTCATCCCCTACGGTATGAACCCTCATGAAATCGTGGAAGAACCCTCGACCAGGGACTCCTCCGGCCTCAGCATTTCCTCGTCTACGTTCCGCTGGCGGAGAACAAGAAGCAGCTGCGCTTGTACAGGGATGAGTCGAAATGAGTGTTTTGGTGTTTTTAGGAGCCAGCGAGTCTGAGGTGTCAGGGTAAGGCGTTCAGGGTGTCTGGGAGTGTTTGGGACTTGGGGTCTGGAGTCGAGTGTGTTCCTGCCACAGCATAAAAATTGAGCCTTGATTACTGCAACCAGAGCGGCAAAGCGGCAGCCCTTGCAAGTCGCGAGGCATTCGCTTGAGAGCTACAAAAGCAGCCTGGGCAGCATGTGCAGCTTCGTATCCTCCACAGATTTGCAGAATGTCGGCCTCGTGGGGGACGTGGATGCTATCGGCTCAATGGCTTCATCCTGCGAAAGTTCAGACACGGGCAACGTGACTTAGCTGAATGGAGAACATTTGCGGTCTTGGGTTCGGTTCCCCTGCTCTATACATCGTTTGGAGTCTGTCTGGACTGGGGATCTGGGTCGTTTAGTAGCACTCCTTCAATTAGTTTCTGTGTTGACCCCTTTTTCTGGAATCGTAGCAGTAGTAGTAGTAGTTGTTGTTGTTGTTGTAGCTGTAGTTGTAGTTGTAGTACTGCTACTA